GGAAATTATAAAGGTCAGAGCAGAAATTAATGTAATGGAGATGAAGAAAACAATGCAAAGAATTAATGAATCAACAATTACTTCCTTGAAAGAATAAATAAAATTCATAAATCTCTAGACATCCTTATCAAAAGGAAAGAAAAAAATTGAAATTCCTACAATAAGGAATGAAAATGGTGAAATCACTTAAGACCCTATAAAAATTCAGATCATTAATACCTACCCTGAAAATCTTTACTCTCACAGGATGCAAAGTACAGAAGAAATGGACAGATTCCTAGATACATATGAATTACCAAAGCTGAATCAAGAATATATAAAAATTCTGAATAACCCAATATCAGTGAATGAAATTAAAAATTGAAACAAAAACCTGCCAAAAATGAAAACGCCAGGTTCTAATGGATTCAAAGCTGAATTCTACAAGATATTTAGAGAAGATTTAATACCAAATCTCATCAAACTTTTTAAGGAAAAGGAAAGGGAGCACCTGTCTCTTGCATATTCCCAGAGGTAAGCAATACTCTGATAATGCAAACAGAGAAAGGCAACAGCAAAAATTCGAGCTATAGGACAAGCTTTCTAATAATCATAGAGAAAAAGATCCTGAGTAAAATACTAGCAAACAGAATGCTGATAATCAACAAAAAGATTATAAATCACCACCAATTGGGATTCATCCCAGGAATGCAGGGATAATTCAATATATTCAGAGCAGCAAATGTGATACACTAAAACAACATAGCAAGAGACAGAATCTCAGGAACACCTCAATAGATGCTAAAGAGCTTTTGACAACCTCCAACTCTCATTCACGATAAAAGCCATACATCAAATTGGAGAGATAAAAAAATTGGAGTAGATAGTCTATATCTCAACCTGATTAAAGACATCTATGAGAAACCAACAGCTGACATCATACTAAACAGAAAAAGCCTGAAAGTCTTCACTTTAAAATCAAGAACAAGACAAGGATGTCCAGTGTTGCCATTCCTATTAATATAGTTATAGAAACATTAGCCAAAGCAATTAGACAAGACAAGTTAAAGGAACAATGTTTGGAAACAAAGAAGTGAAACTATTATTATTTTCAGATGACATGATTTCTACATAAAAGACCCCAGAAACTCCACCAAGAGATTTGTAGATTTAATAATGAAATTCAGTAGCATAGCAGGATACAAAGTAAACACTCAAAATCAGTAGCATTTCTGTACATAGTGAGCACAGCAAGAGAGAAATTAGGGAAACCAAGTCTTTCACAATAACTTCCAAATAATGAATATCACAAAGGAAGTAAAAGATTTATATGCTGAAAATTATAGTACTCTGAGAAAAAAATTGAAAGGAATTCAGAAAACAGAAACATATTCTTTGCTTGTGAATAGGAAAAATGAACATTATGAAAAAGAAACACTTCTGAAATTGATATACAAATTTAATGCAATCCCAATTGAAATAGTATCAGTATACATTAATGTCCTAGAGAAACATTCTTAAAAATTGATCTGGAACCAGAAGAGACCTAGAATATCAAAAGCAATATTGGGCTACAAGAACAAAGCAGGAGGCATCACAGTGACTTGACATTGTACTACTGAGCAACAGTGATTTTAAAAAATGCTATGGTGCTAAAACAAAAACAAATATATGGATCAATGGAACAAAACAAAGGGGTACAGAAACATCCCTGAACTCATTTCCCTATGTGTTCTTTAAAAAAGGTTCAAAGCATATATTGGAGGAAAGATAGCCTACTTACTAAATGGTGCTGGGAAAGCTGGATTTGTTTTTCAGAAGATAGAAACTCAACTCATATCTCTCAGCATATGCCAACCTAAATTCAAAATGGATCAAAGATGCAAACATTAAACAGAAAATTGAATTTTTTCAAGATAAGTTAGATAAAATACTTGGAGACAAGATGTAAGAAATAATTTCCTAAACAGAATTGCACTTGCACATTAAACAACAGGAAGAATTAATAAATGGGATTATACCAAGTTAGAAACATCTGAATAGAAAGATAGTTATTTAGTAGAGTGAAAAGACAAAGTGTAGTATGAGAAAAAGTTTGCCATCTCCTTCTCAGAGAATTATTACGTAGAATATACAAAATAGTTAAAATAATTTTACCACCTAAAATAAAAGATCTAATCAAGAAATACACACGTGGAATGAAAGTTGTTTCTCAGTGGGAGAGGTACAAATGGTCAGCAAATATATGAAAAAATGCTCACCCTCTCTGGTCAGTGGAGAAATACAAATTAAAATGATGCTAAATTTTCACCTCAGAGCAGAAAGAATAGCCATCATTAAGAAGTAAAAAAAACTGGCTATGATGAAAGAGGAACTCGCCTACACTGTTGGTAGGAATGTAAATCAAACAATCATTATGAAAAAATGCATGGGATGACCCGGGGCCCACGGGATCCTGAATAGACCCAGAATGCAGGCCCGGTGAGTGAGTGAGATGACCTGGGGCCCATAGGATCCTGAATAGACCAGGAGCATAGGCCCCGCGAGTGAATGAGATGACCAGGGCCTGAGGGATCTTGAATAGACCAGGAGCACAGGCTCCGTGAGTGAGTGAGATGACCCGGGGCCGCAGATCCTGAATAGACCCAGAGCCCAGGCCTGGTGTGTGAGTGAGACTGCCTGGGGCCCACGGATCCTCATTCGACCCAGAGTGCAGGCCCAGCGCAGAACCCTTCAGCAGAACTCCCTGCAAAGAGGCTAGAGGCAAGACCTACCCAGCTGATTCAGGAGCAGAACATCTTGCCAGAGTGACCCAAATGGTTCAACTCTAACAGCTGCAGCAGAAAGAAGTGGAGCACAGCAGCCAGATCCAAACAACACCCACCTGTAGGAATCTGAACTTCATAGATCCGGACCTGGTGCTGAGGTAATAACTCTATCTAAGCTCTACACCAAAGGTCAGAAGACAGTGGTATACAAAATGACAAAGAGAAGGAACAAAATGCAGTCTCAGGCCCCGAGTCCACCCAGTACAAATGCAGAAGACACTAGCACTGAGGGAACTGGAAATCACACACCAGATATCTCTGAAATAATAGCATTGGCAGTAAAGAAACAACTGTAGAAAGGTATAGAAGAAATAAGATCAGAAATAATTTCAGAACTAAAATATTTAGTGATAACTATAATCAAAGAAGTACTAAGTGCTTCTAAAGAATACACTGATAAAAAATAGAGCAGAATATAAAAATAATAAAACCCCTAAATAAGCAATTTAGGAAAGAAATAGAATGTATGAAACAGGTTCAAAGTGATATACAGGAAATTAAAACCTCAATCACAAGCTGGCAAAACCGTTTGTGTGAAAGTGAAAATAGACTTTTTGACCTGAACGACACCATTGCAGCTAGTGAAAACGTATGAAAAGATCTCTTTAAAGCAGCTAGGATGCAGGAAAAAATAATTCAATACCTGCAAGATGATGCAAAGATGAACAATGTGAGACTAATAGGAATCAATGAGAAGGAAGGAGTCAATACAAATGATATAAAAAGAATATGGGCAGAAGTAATAGCAGAAAACTTCCCAAATATGGGGCAACAATCTGTCGTTCATATAACAGAAGCATATAGAACTCCAAATAACATCAACCCAATGAAAAACACACTGAGACATATAGTAGTCAAGATCCCAGAAATTCAGCATAAGAACAGTATAGTAAAAGCCACTAAAGAAAAGAAACAGGTCACATTCAAAGGAAAACCCATCAGAATAACAGCAGATTTCTCTTCACAAACCATCAAGTCAAGAAAAGCATGGAGCAAAGTACTTCAAACTTGCAAGAAAACAAATTCCAACCCAGACTGATATATCCTGCAAAACTCTCTTTCAAGTATAATGGAGAAGTGCAATACTTCCATGACAAAGAACAACTAAAGAATTTCATGATGACAAAGCCAAGCCTACACAGACTATGAAAGGATGTTCTAGAGAGGGAGCAGATTGATCACAGCCCCATGAATGAGTATGGAAAGAACCCGCCAAATAGGGCAAACAATTAAACACAGGAGAATAAGAGGTAAAAAAAATAAAAAAAGAAAAAATGCATGGAGATTTCTGAAAGAACTAAAATTACAACTTCCATGTAATTTGCTATTCCTTTCCTAGATATCCACCTGAAAGAGCTAAAGACATCATGCTACAATCGTACAAGCATAGAAGTGTTTATACCGGCAAAATTTATAGTCACTAAATATTGAAATCAGCCTGTGTACTCATCATTACATGATTGATAAAGAAAATGTTATATTTATATGTAAAGAAGTATTACTTATCTATAAAGTAGACCATTTTAAAAATATTTATGGGAAAATGAATGCACCTGGAAAATATATTGTTGAGTGAAAGAAATGAGATATACATGCTTGAATAACACAGCAGAACTCTCATTTGAATAAGACAAAGTATATATAAGGGGGAAAATAGAGCATGGATAGGAGACAAAGGGATAAAGCTGGTATAAATTTAAAAAGGTCAGGGCACTGGGGGTGCATTAAGATTGGGAGAAGGGGTGAACTAGACAGAGGATGTGCCACATACAAAGCCTAGGAAGTTGAATGAATGTAAGCACTATATGACATAAACATGAGCTAAGGTTGATCATATCAAAGGTGAAAATGACAGGGAATTAGAAGAGTAGCAAGAGAGAGGGAGTGAAGGGATTAAGAAAAGAAGCTGGAGTATATGCTTGTACTCTCCCCAAGGTGATTGAGTACTGCACGCACTGTGCCGATATGCTACTAGTACAGAACAACAACAAAAACTAAGATAATACAAAGAATAAAGCAAAGAAAAACAATCAAAGCACATAGTTCAAGGGGAAGGATATGATTTTTCAAAAGAGCAATGGTACTGAAGGAAGAAAACACGATTACCTTTGCTCTTCTTTCATATGTCTTTGCATTTCATGGATGGGAGTGGACACAAAAGACAGGAGAAATTTTCACAAAGCGCACTCTTACCGGTGTCATTGGTGATCTCAGTCTCTGAACACATGGTGCAATCAAAACAGCAGGAAGGTTTTCCCTCCTGAGGGGACTTCCTGAATCCAGGAGGACAACTCTCAGTGCACATGGAACGGGGAGTCTGGGGAAAATCAGATATGAATTGCTAACTTCTTGAGACTTTTTCTTATTCTGTCATGATGAGAGTGATACATATATATATGTAATTTGATTAAATGCTATATTTCAGTAGTATGAGTGTTTATAAAAGCGCGCTTAAGTCAATGTGCTTATTTCTTTTTTATTTTAATCTTTTATTTGGTACAGGGTTTCCCTAGGTAGCTCACTCGGTGGTTCTCCTGTCTCAGCCTCCCCAGCGCTAGGATTACAAGTGTGTGCCACCACTCCCACTTTTGGTGGCTAGCACTGCAGCACACCACGTGATACTGAGAATTAAACCAGGGTCCTTGCACTTGTCAGGCTGGTACTTAGACCTCTGCGCTATCTCCCCAGCCCACAACTTTTTTTGTGGCTGGCTCAGCATGCCCCGGGGTCAGGGATGGTGCAGCATGTGGTGCTAGGGATAGAATCACAGTCCCTGAGCTTGCCTAAGTTGCCTAACCAGGCACTTTAGATCTCTGAGCTAGCTTGCTGGCCCAAAAACTTTTCTGAGGGAGCATTTTAGCAAAAGTATTTCAAAAGCATGAGAAGTCCAAGTGATTTTACTTAGAAATTTACACTAAGATGACAGGTGCATCCAAATTTTTAAGTTATTCAAATGTTTAACAGGGAACTTTTGCTTAATTTAAAACATCCATGGGGAATTATTAAACCATTAAAGTTGTTTTTCAAGGAGTATTTAATAAAAAATTATTAGCTTTATGTTAATGCAGCTAAAGCAAAGCCACCGCTTCTCTGATTACAAGGGACCTGCTTCTCAGTGCAACTAGAAAATACTGTAGTTAGAATTCCACAGCATCATAATTTGAATAGTTGTCAAGTGTTCTCTTTTTTTCATGTGGGAAAAGAAAATTCCTCTGAAAATCACTTGAAGCTTGAACAAAAATTCCACAACTCTATTTCTCAGGGTCACTCTGTAATCTTCAGAATTCATATGATACAGTAATCCTGAATGTCCTCCCTCAGGCTTTGAGAGAGGACATTCCAGCCCGCATGATCTCATCGACCAGGAGGATATTGGTGGCAATCACAGTGCAGGCACCAAGTTATCCCACATGCCCGCTTCTGTTGCTACCATTGGCTCAACTGTGTTCAAGTCCACACCCACCAGTTGACCTGACTGGGCATGTTCCTCTTGAACTTTAACTAATGTTTTCTGAAGATCAAAGCCAGAGTTCTGAGCAAGGACCTTGGGAATAATGAGCAGGACATCGACAAACACCTAGACTCTGAGCTGGGCCTGACCCTTCACTCTGGCCTTGTGTTTTACCAGTGCTTCTGCCATTGCCTCTTCTACTGCACCAGCGCCTGGAACCATGCAGCCATCATCGATAGCATTTTTGACAGCCCTCAAACCATCTCTTACTGTGTCCTTGATTTGAGTGAGAGTGTGCTTATTTGGTTCTTTGATCAATAATGTGACAGAGCATGGATTGTTGCATTTCTCAATAAAGGTGAACTTCTCTTCTCCCAAGGTATACTCATAAACAAGTCCTGTATATCCCAAACAGTCAGGAGTTAGCTCATCCAAGGAATTGAGAGCTACCTCACCACAAGCAAGCGTCAGCCTCTCTATGTTTCTCCTCTTAGCCCTACTTAGAGCTATGATTCCTACTTTTGGAGAGCATCTAAGGCATAGGGATCAATCCCCTTTTGATTAGTAATAACAAATCCTCTATCTGAGTCACTGCAGACCTTCTTTTTCAGTTCTACTATTTTTAAAAACTCTATCTTCAATGCATTTCCTTTGGCTTTTACTAGCTTTTCTGTCTCTTCTGCACTCTTGTAGAAAGACCCATAATTCACTTCTGTTTTTTCTTATTCCAAGGAGACATTGCACATGAGGATGTATACATTTTCCACTCCTTTTTTTCATATCAGGGTGCTGTGCCCCATGGTCCAAAACAAGTCCCCCGATTTAAACTTGTATCAGTTTCCGACTTATGCTTCATCTCCATGATCTCAGCCATGAACAGGTCAATAGGTTCATCTTTTCTTCTAATGGCCAAAGTGTAATCCACCAAAGTCTCTGTTAGGATATCTGCAAGTTCCACATGAAATTCAGTATGCAGAGATGTTCTGGCTACATCTGTAAGTATTTCCCTGTCCATTTCTCTGCTTACTTTGACTTGTTCCAAAGACTGCAGGGTCTTTTCCTTTGCAGTTTCAAAACCTTTGGTAATTATTCAGGGAAAAAGGCCCTCAGAATTGTAGAGATCTTCCTGTTTCAGCAGCTCTCCAATAATCAGGATGTTGGAAGGAGTACCATCATCAGTTATATCATCCTGCGCTGTTGCTACTTTTGCTATTAAAGAGGACATAGGGTGTTGAATCTGCATTTGGCGAAGCAGCACATTGCCATCTTTAGTAAGCTTGATGTCTCCGGCACCAGAAACGAGCATCTTCATGGTACCTTTAGGCCCCAAGTTGGCCCTCAACACTTCCTGCAGCCCTCTTGCCGTGCTGATGTTGACCAACAGCGGCACCTGCACGCAGGCCACCTCGGCCTTGGGGTTCAGGGTTTTCACAGCAGCCACCAATGCCCAAGTGAAGCAAGAATGGGGAAGATAACGTGAGGCACAAACGCCAGGTTCAGCATGGCCAAAAGGCTCTATCCGGGCCCTCTGCACTATGCTTATTTCTTATTCATCAGAAAAGTGGGTAAATGCAAAAACTCTTGACTTTAAAAGATTAGTAAAATGCTCATATATGACAATTTTCTGATCAACTGTAAATGCTCCAAACCGATAGAAAGACTTTGCCTACAAAACTTAGTAAAATGCACAGTGATTTGATCCAACATACCTCTGTAATTCCTGTGCCCCATTGTATCATTTCAGATAAAGACAACTGTTGCCCATTTGCAACTTGAGGAGAAAACTCTCCTACTTTCACCTTAAGCCTAAGGCCTTCTGGAAAATTCCAAAAGTTGAGAATGTCAAAATTTGTGAACAATTTTCTTTTTTGGTCCAAATCCACGTGTTCTCCAGCAGGATTGGAAAACTGGATGTTCTTCAGAAAGGTATGCAGCTGAAAGAGATACATCATTCTTTGGTGAAATAGGTCTCACTGCTAAAACAGCAGACCCAAATATGGGGGAGCTCGTAGATGCATTTATCCACTACCACATAGAGGAACTGTAATGCCTGTATCTAGTGGAGTGGAAGATATGCAAATCTATGGAGGACTAAGATCCATTAATGGTCTTAAAATGTCAGTCAGTAAGCCAGTATAAATCAGCAGTACAATTATAAAAATTATCTTGGGCATGTACATATATATTTTTTTCTCCTCTGTTCATTCCTTTCTTCTTTTTATTTTTTTGTTTTTTTCCAATAATTATATTGATAAACAAATAACAATGAGACAGTTTCAAATCAAATTGGTAGGACAGTTTTAACAATAACACATTGCATATTCTTTTTAATTTTTTGACAAATATTACATGCTTATATAATTTTGAACAATTAATTTGTAGACAACAATATGCAATATGAGAACCATTGTTGAATTCCTATCATTTTTTAAAAGGAATACAAAATATTTTTTTCCATAATTTTATTGAGAAACAAATAGCAATGAGACAGTTTCAAACCAAATTGGTAGGACAGTTTCAATAATTAACACATTGCATACATTCTTCCTAGTGGTTAATTGCTGTACAAGATGCGGACTTGATACCCTATTTACAAACGCCATTAGAACAAATCCTTCTATTCATTAAGAGAATGTAACTATATATCTATCCTAACCACTTTGAATACACAGATACAAAATGGACATTCATCTGAGGAATAAAAAATATTGAGAAAAAACCAAATCATTAGAAATGATACAAAGTTTCACTAAACAATATAATAGGAATTAGTCTATGTTTGTTGTGTGGAATAATGTCTTCAAATTAGTGTGTTCAGATTACCATATATGTATTTGTTTTTAAAAAGTTATAAGAAATTGAAAATGAGAAGAAAAAAAGTTAAGCCTTAACTTTTCCTTTCAGAAAACCAGCAGAAATAAGCAGAGGAAAAGGCACACACACACACACACATCTATATCTATATCTATATCTATATCTATATCTATATCTATATCTATATCTATATCTATATC